TATATATATAGAAAATATCAAGAAAATGCAGTTTTAACATTACAATAGCATTTTTAATAAGATTTCAACACATATGTAAATAAATATTTATTATGCATATTTAGAAGATGGATGCAACAATTTATTTTTTGTCTTGTTAAAAGGAAATGAACATCTATACAGTATAACGAAAATATGATGTCTTATTATTAATAATAAAGATTCATGTTGAAAAAACTTTAAATGCCACAATTAATTATCACAATTTCTGCAGTGAGCTGTCATCTAACAACAACTGACAAAAGCTACAACATTTATTAATTGCAACATGCGCCCTCTACTGAATTACAGAAGAACGTAAATACACAAAAATTGTTATTTTGTTTAAACCATCCTAACAAAAAATTCGATTACATGTTTTATCCGCATCTCCTACAATTAAAATATCAACATCAGACAAACGAATTTTGCAAAATATGCAAGTAGTTATTACTTATAAAAAAAACAGGTGTTATACTTGTTTTTTTTTACTGTTAGAAATTGCTAACTATTAGATTCAAAAAGAAAGGTAGAGAACACCCTTACAATAAATCTGATTTTAGTTATTTTATCCCCTTCCTCTTCAAACAAAATTATCAAAATTTGGCAAACGGATTTTGAATAGTATATAAGTTAAAATACCTGCAATTTTACTTAAGAGAAATTGCAAAGCTTTATGTTTAAAGGGAAGGGTAGATAGGACCATTACAAAAAATCTGGTTTTACATATTTTGTCCACGTCCCCTACAAAAACAAAAATAACAAAATTTGGCAAACAAACTTTGAATTGTATGTACCTAAGATATAATGCCTGCAATTTTCGCCATCAGAAATTGCAAAACTGTGGAAAAATCAGACTTTACCTATTTTATCCCTGTCCTCTTCAAACAAAATTTTCAAAATCTGGCAAACGAATTTTGAATAGCATGCAAGTTATAACACCTGTAATTTTCCTACTAGAAATTGCAAAACTTTAGATTCAAAAGAAAGGGTAGAGAGCACCCTTACAAAAAATCTGACTATATTTATTTTATCCCCGTCCTCTTCAAACAAAATTATCAAAATCTAGCAATCGTATTTCGAATAGTATGCAAGTATTAACACTCATAATTTTACTACCAGAAATTGCAAAATTTTAGATTCAAATAAAAGGGTAGAGAGCACCCTTACAAAAAATCTGACTTTACTTATTTTGTCCCTGTCCTCTTCAAACAAAATTATCAGAATCTGGCAAACGAATTTTGAATAGCATGCAAGTTATAACACCTGTAATTTTACTACCAGAAATTGCAAAACTTTACATTCAAATGAAAGGGTAGAGAACACCCTTACAAAAAATCTGACTATACTTATTTTATCCTCGTCCTCCTAAAACAAAGTTATCAAAATCTGGCAATCGTATTTTAAATAGCATGCATTTACTACCAGAAATAGAAAAATTATAGATTCAAAAAAAAAAGTTGGAGAGCACCCTTACAAAAAAACTGACTTTACTTATTTTGTCCCTGTCCTCTTCAAACAAAATTATCAAATTCTGGCAATTGTATCTTGAATAGCATGCAAGTTATAGTGCCTGTAATTTTCATCATCAGAAATTCCAAAATTTTGGATTCGATGGGAAGGGTAGAGAGCACCCTTACAAAAAATTTAGCTCTACAAATTTTGCCCCCGTCTTCTTCAAATAAAAACATCAAAATCTGGCAAACGACTTTAGAATCATATGAAAGTTATATTTTATGCATATGTTGTGTATAAATTATGTTCAACCAATCATATGTAGTAATGAGTCTTGTAAATAAAATTGCTTACTTATGGTGTTAATTATTCTTTTTTTTTAATAAGGCTCAGTATGATACAGTCTTCGATTTATTTCTTTAATATCCGCAAAATTTTTTGCGCATTTCACCATTTATTGTAGTAGTGAAAGTTATACTTAAGGTCTCACTTAAAATACTTTTCTTGAAATTTTCTTTTCAAGGACACTTTTTCTTGGGGCTTTTTTCCTAAGAGAAATTTTACCAAAGCTTTTTTGCGTTTTTTTCCGGGGAATTTTTTTTCTAAATTCGATAGCTTGTTTTGAAAGCGGACGTTCAGGCGGCTGAATAATAAACGGCCAAGCGCACAAAGACTGAAAGACTTTCACGCAGTGCTATTCAAATAATGTTATACAAAATCGGAAAACTGTAAAAAACTAGAATTGTTATTATCGTTACCTTTAGGTAAACCTTTCCTGTTATTTACATTACTGTATTTTTAGAAATAAATAGTGGGAACATTTATTTGATTCAAATAATGGAGCAGTCTTTTCAATTAAAGTGCGGACCTCTAAGATAGGAGGATAACTATAACATTTAATAAACAAAAATGAAAACATCAAATCAAAATTTAAGTTAAAAAGAGAAGTATATTCCACTTATTTTTTAAGAAACAGAGTCTTTATGTTTTTAGAGGTATTTATTAATGTTTATAAAAATTATAAAAATTAGTAAGTAGGTTTTAATAGAAGCGCTATAAAAATTATTAATTTAATAAGTTACAAAAAAGCAAACACTGTCCGTGTAATTAATACTTTTAAGATTCATCAGCTTGGGAAGTTAAAAGGCCCCCTTTTCCAGTCCATTCCTCTTTTAATTCAACTTTACAGCCTAAATCACGAAGGGCTGATTTAGTATCGAATTCAATAGTAGGAAAATTCTTCAAATTATTTTCTAAAATTTTATCTGTACCCAATGTCAAGAACTTTTTTATCTGGTTA